GACCATTATTAACTCTGGTGCATAAGAAAAAATACTGTGTAAAACCATTAACATAAAAACAATGCAATAACCAGTGAGATGTGTATGGATAAGTAAAGAGGAAAGAGGAGGGAACAGGAAGGTTGATAGTGGGGAAGAGGGGAAATCACAGGGTTGAAGAGTTTGGTAGATGAAGGGTGGGAGCAGGAAAAAATATGAATGAGTAAAATATGATTTTTAAAAGAGTTTGATTATGCTTAAAATTATAAGTTGGTTGTCTGTAAGAAGGAGGTAATTATGACTACATAAAATATGATTTGATAAAAGACATTCCCAAATGCTAACCCATGGATGAGGCAAAATGATTATAAGGTACTCTCTATCTTTGATGTTTCCTTATTCTTCCTTCCCTAAAGGCCCCAGCGGGTTCCTTAAGGGCTCTAGCCTTTTAACCATTGTGGGGGTTGGGGACTGGGGTGGCTTTCCCTTTGTTATACTCTTGGAATCTTTTCCTTTTCAATTGCAAAATAATGAAAAATAATTCATGGTTTCTCACCATCTAGTAAAATTATAAAGAATCTTGTTGGATACTGAATGAAAAATGGTAGGTATATGAACCTACCAGTCACTCTATGGAAGAAAGATGAAGAATCTGCAGACCTCATGGAGGAAGTCTACTCTTTCCCATACGAACTGAAATTGCTTCGGGTCCTTCTCAGAGCCTCCAAGATGGTAGCCTCCATGAAAGGTTAGCCTTAATATTGATAGCTGGACAGAGACTGTAATGAGCAGAAATAAACCAATGTGCATTGGCTTAAGTAAGTAAGCCTTATAACCAATGTTGTTGCCATCGAATCATGGCGACTCATGGCGACCCTATGAATTAAATTCCTGGACACCTATATAACTTTGGCCTTTCTCCAGGTTCATGGGGTTTCCACAGGCAAGCTATTATGGAAGTGGATGCCACTCCTGCTTCCAAGCTTGTTTAAATTGAGGAGCTCCACCAAACACTGTCCACCATGTGTAACCATTCTTGCATTTGAGTCATCGGTGTCACAGTGTTCGGCTTCACAGCAACCATGAGTTATCTCTGTACAGCCAGTGAACATACCAGGGTTAAATGACGTAGAAGACTGTTTCACCAAAAACAATTAAAGGGAGGCCTGCGGGCCACGGAGTAGATATATCTTGATTTTTCTTGTGCACACTTACTATACTGTCTTCATTTAATTTTGTTTTCATTTCATAAGAAGAATGCATTATAAACAGCATTTAAAAATTACTTTTGCTTTCTTTTGTTTACATACAAAATTAATATGCATTGTGTTTCATTGGGGGAAATTATGAGAGGTATTTAGTGGGTGGAAGGAGAAGGTGGAGGACTTAGATAGTATTTTTAATGATTTGCTGAGTGACTTATGACTGAGCATAAGTGTGGGCTACACAGAATATTATATACCTAACAACAAGAGCAGCAAGAAGTTGTGCACCATTCAAATCCATCAGCTGCTCCACAGGAGCAGTATGGACAGTGTTTTTCTATGTGATTTACTGCCTCTGAAAACCCACAGGAGAGCTAACTGTGTGTCTGTTCTGACTTGATGGCATACAACAACTCTCTCTCTCTCTCTCTCTCTCTCTCTCTCTCTCTATATATATATATATATATATACACACACTCTCTCTCTCTCTCTATATATATATATATACACACACATATATATACATATACACATATAAATACATATGCACATATACATGTATGTATATAAACACACACACACATATATATATATAATTTCAAAATTGGGAAGGGCGTACACCAGGGATGTGTCCTGTCTCCATACCTTTTCAACCTGTATGCAGAACAGATTATCAGGGAGGCTGGCTCTATGAGGAGAAATGTGCAGTCAAGATTAGATTGGTGGAAGATCTATCAACAATCTGCGATATGCAGATGACTCAACCCTGCTTGCTGTAACTGAGGAGGACCTGAAGTGCTTGCTGCAGAGGGTCAAGGACTGCAGCTTTCAATATGGATTGAGGCTCAATGTCAAGAAGACAAAGATTCTCACCACTGGGCCAATTGCAAGCATCAGGATGGATGGTGAAGAGATTGAGATTGTTCACAGCTTTAGTTTGCTAGGCTCCACAGTCAACACTCTTGGCACCAGTAGCCAGGAAATGAAAAGACGTATTGCCATGGGAAAGTCTGCTGTTAGGGACCTCTCCAAAGTACTAAAGAGCAATGGTATCTCTCTGGAGACTAAGGTGAATCTGATACAGGCCATAGTCTTTACTATCACTTGTTATGCATCAGAGATTCAGACAATGACTGAGGAGGATAGAAGAAGTGATGCCTTTGAGCTGTGGTGCTGGAGAACAGTATTGAGGGTACCGTGGACTGCTAGGAAAACAAACAGATAAATCCTGGAAAGGGTCAAACCGGGCGGCTCCTTAGAGGCAAGGATTCTGAGTCTCCGTCTAACATACTTTGGACGTGTTGTAAGGAGGGACCATTCCTTGGACAGGGACGTCATGCTTGGTAGGGTGGAGGGACAGCGCAGGAGGGGAAGGCCCTCTATGAGGTGGATTGATTCAGTAATTGGGGTAATCGGGATGGGTGTATCAGAGATGGTGCAATTGGCACAGGACAGAGCAGAGTTTAGGGCTGTTGTACATAGGGTCGCTATGAGTTGCAAGCAACTCGATGGCACATAACAACAACAACAACAACAACAAATTTATACATATACATATATATGAAATAATATGAAAGGTTGTTTTTGAATGGTTAAGCCAATATAGATTTAATTTTCCACATAATTCCGTAGCACATTAATAGGATACAGAATACAATGTTTGTAGAAAAAGAGTTGTTATTTTGCTTTCAGTCAGAAAGAACATTCAGCTCATAGCTATTGGAACTGACTCATAGTTGATATCCAGTGGATTTGCTCATCCTTCTGCAAAACAGTTGGTGAGTTTGAACCATGTAACATGGGGATTGCAGTACAACTTCTTACCAATGAGGCAACAGAACTCCCTAGAAAACAGGATGATATGTTTAACTTTTTTCCTGTCTTTATGACAACCTTCTTTCAGATCTGGTGGTTGTATTTTTATTCAAAAATAAAGTAATTTTTTGAAAAAAAGTAATGAAGTTAGTGTAGATAGAAATGGTGATATGAGATAAATAGTTTAGGTTTAGACATTTGCTGCATAAAGTCTAAACAGTAGAAAGTAAAACTTACACTGTATATAAAGCTGAGTTAGTACAAGATGTAATTATCAATTATTAACCATTCATTAAGAAGAGATTGAGGTTATTAACAGTTACAGCTTGCTTGGTTCCACAATCAACAGTCTTGGCACCAGCAGTCAGGAAATCAATAGATGAATTGCATTGCGAAAATCTGCTGTCACTGATGGACCTCTCCAGACTGAAGAGCAACAATGTCAGTCTAGAAACTAAGGTGCACCAAAGCCAAACCATGGTCTTCGTAATTATTTGCTATGCGTCAGAGAGCTGGACAATGACTAAGGATGACAGAGGAAGAATTCATGCCTTCGGGTTGTGGTGCTGGAGCAGAGTTTTGAACATACCATGGATTGCCAAAAGAAAAAAAAAGTAAGTCTGACTTGGAGAGAATGAAACCAAATTTCTCTTTGGAGGCTAGGATTTTGAAGTTCTGTCTCACATAGTTTGGGCACATGGCCAGGAGGGACCAATCCTTGGAAAAAGACATCATGCTTGGAAGTGTGAAGGGACAGCCCAGGAAAGGAAGTCTCTGCATGAGCTAAGTATCTGGGGTAATTGGGATGGCTGTGTGGGATTTAGTGACATTGGCTTAGGGCAGGGCCGGCTTCAGAGCTGCTATACATAGTGTCCTATGGGTCACAGGTGACTCAAGGGCACTTAACAATAACAAGAATTCATAACCTGACCTAGAGAAGTTTATAGAACACAGAAGCAAATTTCATTTACAGGTTTTGTTGATTGACTACTCTGAGGAGCTCTAAGGAACTTGGTCTATTTCTTGGTCAGTCCACCAGAGGCCTAACAAGAATCCAAGGATGGAAAACGAGTATCTTTCTTTTCGTGACAAGTGCTTTCATTAAGAACCATAGATAGATGGACTGGACCAGAAAACGGCAAGTTGTTTCCTTATACCTGGCCAGACTTTACCATATTCTTGAAAAAATGAAGATATTCAGGTATTTTCTTATTCCATTCACTAGCATGGACGCTAACTGGGACGATCCAGTGAGCACATCACATGATGTGGATGGATTAAAAACTTTTTTTTTAAAGAAATTATTTTAGGTTGCATAAATAATCAGGTCTTCTTGCATGGGACTGGTTCATACCTTGGTAAGGAAAGAGAGGGTGGGTCTTGTGAGAATGGGGCAGAGATGGGGGTTGCCTCCTTGCTGCTCCAAATAGCCCCTGAGTTGGAGAGCCATGCTGTTGTTTTAAGGGCCAGTGACATGCACTGTAGGTTCCCGGGTCTTTTGCTGCCTTTTTGACTCCCTTTTGGGATGTGGCTATGTGCAATCTCCAGTCAGGGCACTCTCTGCTGTGCAGCTGAGGAGGGTGTGGGGGGCTGCCCTTGGGGGGCCATTTCCTCCCTGTAGGTCCAGTAGGCCGCCCCATCACTGGTCTCCTGCCTTTGCAGGTCCCTAGGAGATCTGTGGAGCAGGTGCTGGAGAGGAGCCCACTTTTTTGCCTCCAGGCGCAGCGGAACCTCCAGGCCCCACGTCCCGGCGGGTGCGAGCCCCGCACCCATCGTAGCTCGGTCTGGGAGCGCAGCGCAGGGAGGGCCGGGCGCGTTCGCGCTGCGCTCCTCCAGGGCCCCGCCGCGTATGCGCCCGCGCCCTGCTCCCCTCCCCTCCTCTCCAGCCCGCTCCTCCCTCTCCTCCCCTCCCCCTCCTGCCTCCTCCGCTTTGGGCCAGCTCGGCGGCGGTGGCGGCGGCGGCAGCAGCAGCAGTAGGAGCAGCTCCGGCTGCGGGTCGCAACGGCGGCGGGGCGCCCCCTCCCCCGTCCCGGGGCGCTGCAGAGGGATGTGGGGCTTTGCGGGAGGAAGGCTTTTCGGCATCTTCTCGGCCCCAGTGCTGGTGGCTGTGGTGTGCTGTGCACAGAGGTAGGGTCGCGGGTTGTAACCGGAAGCGTGCTGGGTGACTGGCGGGGTACGGGCGCGCATGCCAGGCGCTGGCTGGGGAGCCGCCGCCTCATCCTGTGGCTCTCGCTTCTCCGCAGCGTGAACGATCCCGGGAACATGTCCTTTGTGAAGGAGACCGTGGACAAGCTGTTGAAAGGCTACGACATTCGCCTCAGACCTGACTTCGGAGGTAAGCAGGCTGTGCTCTGCCGCTGCGCTGCAATAAGTGCGGCCCAGTAGGTTGGCGTCTGGGTGGGAGGGAGGCGAGGACTGCATCCTTTAGCTGCATCAGGCTGAGATGACCCTTCTAAGGTGCCCCCTACGCGCAGGTTACCTGCACCTCATGTCTTAATCTGACTCATGACCAGGTGGTGCTCTTCTCCGTAGGTCCTCCAGTCTGTGTAGGGATGAACATCGACATCGCCAGCATTGACATGGTTTCTGAAGTGAATATGGTGAGTGTCAGCCCCTGCCAGGGCAATCTCTCACCCTTGCCCCATTACCTGGATCACCTGAGACCATAGGGCTGCGCCAGAGGCCTCTTCCGCCAGGGGGACAGGTTTCTAGGCTGCAGAGGGAGCGAGGTCTAGGATGTTGGCCTGTTTGTTGCTTGCTCAACTCTCTGAGCCCACTTCGCTCGGAATCCTTGCAGAAGGTGGCCAGGACCCTTGTTGCCAAAAGGGTCCTTGACCTAACCTACTCATCATTCCTCACCTCAGTCCCCAGCTCCGCTTTCACCTTTAACCCGCGAGGTCCCAGCTTCTCCTACGTCTGTCATCTGGTCCTAAGTGCCTCTGTAGCAACAGGCACCAGAGCTCCTGAAAGGGATGAGATGTGGGGTTGGAACACATATTGCAGATAAGAGCTACTTAGGTTTCCTTTGTTGTCACTTGTAAGAGATAGTGGCGATTGGAGAGGAAAATGAAGAAGCAGTGGCAAGGATGTGCCAACAAGAGTATCTGGTCAGTGTGGCCCTTTTATGTGTAGGTTAAAGGACAGTGAAACGACATAGCCCGACCACTGATCGCTGTCCGAGGTTCTGACAGGGCTGTGCTGGTTTTGGCAACAAAAAAAACTGTGCTGCAGGCAGAGCTCAATGAAGGGGCCCCTGCCAGCAGGACAATCAAGGCAAGACAAATGCTCACAGTGTCTTAAGGAGTTTTGCTTATGCTGACTTTATTCAGTATGCGAACCTGTGAAAAGTGGAGGCTACAGTTCTGAAGTGCATAGCAACTATGACAGGCCTTAGCACCAAATACTGCAGAACTCCGCTGGAACAACTGAAAAAGGAATTACTTCCTTTATTGGTTGAGCTGAAATACTCTGAAATTTGGAAACTGGTTTAAGTTTCTTTTGAGTATCATTTTAGAATGCTTATGGTTTTAAAGAACTCTAATAGGCCAATACTTCTCAACTCTGGTATACATCAAAATCACATGGTCAAATGTATTTTATATGCATCCTTCCAAATTCCTTACTCCAGGATATTTTGAGGCCTGTGATTTGTAGAGGAGTCTTGCAGGGGTTTCTGCAGGTATTTTATGGGCAATATTTTGAGAAACATGACAATTTTTAGATATATCGGCAAATATAAATAAACCAAAAATTTTGTTTAAATACTGTTTAGCAAGATGTATTTAAAAGTATGTATTACGTTGGATTTTATAAAAAGAAATCTTTGGTTATACCAAATGCTGTAGTCTCATAAAATTTTAAGCTTAACCTCATTGTTGTTAGATGCTCTTGATTCTAACTCTGACTCATAGTAACCCTGTGTACAGCATGTTGAAACTTTACCTAGTCCTACCCCATCCTCACAATTTCCACTATTAAGTCCACTTAAGTCCATTGTTACAGCCACTGTATCAGTTCATTTTGTTGAAGAGTTCCCTCTCTTTCTCTGCCCCTTCACATTTACAAACATAATGTACATTTCTAAGCACCAGCCCCACCTGACAACATGCTGAGAGTATTTGAGAAAAATCTCACAAATTTCTGTTTCTATGATGCATTCTGGCTGCTCTTTTCAAGACAGCTTTGTATGTTCTTTTGGTAGTCCATAGGATATTCAGTAGTCTCTAATACTACAAGGAAAACCCATAAATTATTCCTCAGTTTTCTTTGCTTGACTTTTACATGCAAATGAAGCAATTAAAAATACCATGACTTGCATCTAGTGCACTTTTGTCTTTGCACTGATATTCTTTTTTTTTTATTGGGAAAACATATTGGGGGTACAAGGAGGTGAGGGTTGGGGGCAGAAGGGTGAGGATGGGCCAGGATGCAGTTGCAGAGCTGCACAGTTTGGTCAGTGGGGGGAG